ATGCAGCCCACCACCGGGAACAGGAGCTTTCGCCGGATCTCGGCGGATCAAATTCTCCAATTCCATGAATATCCCTCTAATTGCCTCTCCTAGCCTCTTCCAAATAGCAACAGCTTCATTTCTAAGAACCAAACAGTACTGATCAGAGAACAAGGACTCCAATTCAGGCATCAAGTCTCTCATCGTCTCAAACACGTCAAGAACTTTAAACAGGCGCTCAGGCGCCCTCGACCCAATCGCGACTGCATCAGCAAAGTTCAGCAATTGAATGGCACAGCCACGGCATACCTCCATGAAGCACAGATCAGCAGCCGCAGACAAGCCAAAGAAGACGCGATCGCAGAGGCGGCGCTCGCTGGGGAACAGGATATAAAGAGCCACTTTCATGGCCTTCATCCACCGGTCTATCTCGTCTTCCAATTCCTGCCACGGCAATTTCTGGGTTTCCTCGATGCTCAATTTCTGCAAACCCAACCTCGACATGCTCTCCTCCAAGAATTCCCTCCTGCAGCTGCTGTAAACGTGCGAGCACTCCCTCCCGAACCCCGCGGCCACCATGCGCTTCGCGATCTCATGCAAATCATTGATCGTTCCCGACGGCAACGCGTCGATCACGATATCGAAGTCGTCCCCAAGCGGCTGCGCCACCGGGACCTGCCGCTCGTCCCCATCGCCTCCCTGCTCCTCGTCGTCCTCGTCGTCGTCTTCGGAGTCGAACGAGAGGTCTCCATTCGACTCGCCGCCGCGCCCGTAGGGCCGGCTCAGCTCGAAGGACTCGCCGCCGACCTCCATCAGGGACCTGAACTCGTCCTCGAGGCGGAACATGGCCTGCTGCACCAGGTCGTCGGCGCGGCCAAGGCAGGCCAGGACGGCCTTGTCGGGGGCGGGCGCGGAGGACCAGTCCCGGACGACGGCGATCAGCTCGTCGACGGCGTCGAGGAAGGCGGCGGCTTCGGCGGCGTCGGCCCAGATGGGGTTGTCGGAGGTGACGAAGTGCGAGATCTGGCGCTCCAGCGCGCTGAGGGCGCGGTCGAGGGCGGCGTAGGCGAGTGGGTGGTCGCCGGATTCGGCGGCGGCGGCGGCGGCGGCGGCCTTGGCCTTGGCCTTGGCCTTGGCGGAGGGGGAGAGCTTGTCGCGGGAGAAGCGGCCGTCGAAGTTGGAGAAGATCTGGAGGATGTCGTCGGCCATGGACTCGTCGCGGCCGAGCGTCTTGGCGATGTGGCGGGCGACGGCGAGCAGCTTCTCTTCGCCGTTCTCGGCCATCGGAGCGGCTTGACCTGCGAGATAGAGTAGAGAGAGAGAGAGAGAGAGAGAGGGGTAGAGAGAGAAAGGTAGAGAGAGAGAGAGAGAATGGAGAAGACCCAGTCTGCAGTCAGTGATGGAGGAACAGAGAAAACGCGGAAGGGCGAAAGAGAGAAGTAGAGAAGAAGAGAGAGAAAAGAGAGACGCTTTTGACTTTGACCTCATGCCCCGTTTTGCCCCTGCATTGACCCTCCATTTTCAAGCCGCCCGAGGACCGCGTTTTCGAAATCGAAAGTTCTTCGTCCCGTGTGAATTATACCGGGGTTAATACCACGAATATACTTCAAACAGATTTTTTGACCAGTAAAAATTCTCAATTGATACATTTATAACAAATTTTCTCCCGATTGATTTTTGTTAACTTTCACCGTCAAACTGCTAAGTTCAATGACACGTAACAGTTGACAGGTGTACTGAATTGGGGTTTTACCCTTCATTTATCACAGGTGTACCGATCTGTGATTTTTCGTGGTATTAATTTAATTTAACGGTAATTAACGGAGGGTAAATTTGTCTCAAATGTACTAATTTGGAGTTTTTTATGATAGGTATATTTGTGACAAATATATTATTTTGGAGTTTTTTGTGGTAAAAAAAATTAGTCTGAGGTAAATTTGTCCATTTTTCAGTTTTTCGTGGTATTAACCATAATTACTACTACATGCATCGCTTGGCGTTTGCTTGATTCCATTTTGGTTCCAAGCTTAGTCAGAACAAGATCTGTCAAACAGGTGGGTCGGATCGAGTTTGGGCTGGCTCAACAATAGTCCGATCCAAATTGACCCATTCAATCTGTTTTGACTTATTTCCATGCCATATAAATCTAGTGACCCACACCCGACCAAACTCATACCTAATACATAGCCGATCTATATTTGCCAAAATACTTTCACATTTAATCAAATCTAAGAAAATTCGTACCCAAACTGAGGTAAGAGCACGGAGTAAGCGAGTGCAAGATCGAGCGAGGGTAAGAGAGAGTGAACAAAGAATCATAGAGGTAAGTTTGGTCTAAATAAGTTATAAACATATTTAACACCCATATTATTTTGGATTTTACTATTCTAAATCCCTTTATGACCCATTTACAGAATATAATTAACTCATATAATAATTCATCCCATCAAATATGGGTTAACAAAGGTCTAGTCGGAATCATCTATAGAATCATATTTATCTCTCCCATGAGAACGACTGTCATTCTACCACGAGGAGAGAGTATGCAAAGCTCTAGCACTTGGTCGATAGCCACACAATCTCAATACGAATTAGCAAGTAGCTTACGCAGGCGCTTCATGGATGCGATTGTCGCGACTCGCTCGACCGTCGACTCCATCGCCCCGTATGGGTCGGGCTCTGTCCGTCCGATTTCTGTCGCGACCATCTCGCATTTCGGCTCAGGGGCATGGCCCGCTTCGGCCGGAACAAGAGAAAACCGTGCCTTTTTGCCTCGTTTCGTGTCTGTCGGGGGGTAGAAATAGGGAATGATGATGGTGGTCAACAAAGGCAGAGAGTCGTAAAATTGAAGTTGGAATTAGAGGAAAGGGAAGCGGAATTTATATTTGCTAGAAAGGAGAGAGGAATCAATAAAGCACCGGGCAATATTTTTTTATTATTTTTGGTCGGAAGAAATTCTTTCTGAGTATCACTCTAATCGATTTATCACACGTGAATGGTATTTATAACTTGTAATCCATCAATCAGAACACAAACCGGATGAAATTTTCTCCGATCAGAGATGGAGGGAAATGTGAATCCGTAAGAGGTAACGAGAGAAATGGGAAATTCTCAATACGAGTTGGATGGAGGTCTGACCCGTTTTGGGTTGGATTCGAATCGAGATTGAAGCCCGAGGCATCCGAAGCAGGCGAAGAGATTCGGAGTGCGCGAGGATACATTTCGGATGTCCTAAATCAAGCGGTGAAATTACTGTGGTGCGGACTACATTCACTCATACGTGTGGGGGCGTTCTCAAGGGCAGCTGAAGGGAGGTGCCAGGTACTTGTTGTCTTTTTGTAGATGATTTTTTAAAGAAAGTCTAGGTCTATTTACTCAAGCACAAAAGCGATATACTTGGTCTATTCCCAACGTGGAAGGCAATGATCTAAGAGTAGACATGGAGGAAAATCACGTGCCTGACAACTGATAGAGGGTTGGAGTTCTATTTAAAGGAGCTTGGCTAGTTTTGTGCAGTGAGATACATAGTAAAACTCGTCAGTATTGCACAATTGATGAATAGATTCATATGGGGATAACTTGCCCTTTACGAGAGTAAAGATCAAGCGTGAATTTATGAGTTGAAGTAGCGATTATCGTCTATTATTTAATGAATAGAGATCACCCATCACCTACAGATGAGTGTAGAACTCTTGAGAAAAACGTGATCAGGTAAGTCTCCTTATTACACTGGATTGAAGCATACGATTGCCTTGTTTATGCTCATGTAAGTGACAGCATGCTACGGCTGAGAGCAAGGAGGTGCATACTACTAGATCAGGCACTTGCGGTAAAGGGATACATTCTATCATTGCACAGATGAGGATTCATTTAAGGTTTATGATCAACAGAGATATTACATGCAACAAATCTGCTCCGTTTCAAAAGATAAGTCGAGTGATCAATTGTAGAAAAAAAGAATCTGTAGAGAGCTTCTTGGAGAGCCTAGAGAAGAGGAGAATGCTAGAGATGTGATGCAGATGGGAGATGAATGATCTGGCTACAAAGACTCATAGAGAGTCGACAACTGAGGTATTGCGAGTAACTCGGGGAAGTTACATCGGGAAGCGCTTTAACACTCGGCTGTTCAAATCAGTAGGTGTTCCCTTTATTGCATGCTACAAATAGTCTACACCTTCACGACCGTGAATTATCGATAAGACAAATGCGTTTGTTAAAAACCTACCTCGCATAGGCAGTTATTTCATTTTCGATATTCACTTTGTTTTCGATTCCTTTTGAATTTACATACGAAACAAAAATTAATGTCCTTTTGATTCATGTTGTCGTCTGATGCAATTCGACCACCTGCATATAGAATCTACTAATCCTTTATTTCCATTGCTCCATGCACACATGGTTAAAACTTAATAATTCCCAAAATATCCACGATCCTATTAATAATTTAATTTGTTTCTTCGGGCGAATCTAGACGTTCAATGAGTCTGCAATTCCTCTGTGGTAAAGCAATTTTAATGACTCCATAGGCAATAGCATAGTACAGACTGATGAAATGGACGGAGTTTACATCTTGTATAAACCCGCAAAAACAAACTATCGGGGGTGATTTTGGCACGGGACGAGGTGTTTACAAGGACATACAGTTCGTAATCAATGGAATAACAAGTGGATTTGCGGTTGACATACCCAGGCCGGTCCAGCTCCCTGCAGATCCATATCGTCAAAGTCTCCGGCTTGCGATTCCCATTGTTGAATTGCTGGTGCTCCGGCATACACATTACAGGAAGCTAGCTAGTTTCCAACTTTAGTTGTCATCCCATTAAATAAAAATAAACAAAAGAACAAACGGCGGTACGAAGGAGAAGGTATTTCATGCAATGGGTACACCACATAACAGTAAAACATGACGTAACAAGCCAATGAAAAATGAGTGATTCCGAAATTTAAGAGCAAGATAGAATGAGATGCTATATCACGCCGGTAATGCAATTGGTCGATGTCATCAGCTCAACCATATAAACGGACACGGAAAATTCTCTCTTGTACGAAAGACCATTCTAGATAAACCATTGGAAAGATATGTTCACACTGAATAAGGCTAACCAAGAAAACTTTAACGAGAATGATTAAACTGCTGCAACATATAAGTACTTCTACGTATGCATGAGAGCAGGACCCGCGAATTATCTGAATACTTCAATCTAGTGTGCATGGCATCTAAACAACATCGGATTTGCAAAATCTTCGTTTGAGTAGTCAGATTACCCAAAAGTTCCGACTGAAAACTCAGATGCTCAGTCTTCCTTGTCTCCTGGCCTGTATTCTTTTCCTTCATTCTCCGAGGAAGAGCTGCTTGCATGATCTGCCTCTTCTCGCGTACCAACTCGCAAAGGCTCTTCTTTGTTGATGCTTCGGATGAGCATAAATACACAAACAAGGAATACAATTATGTACACAGTTCTGACCCCGATAAGTGAATTGATGTAGCCCATAAACGATGGGCCGTTAATTCTTTTCACTTCTGTTCTTCCTTCCCTAAATCCTTCAATAAATCGTGTGATTTGAGATGCCTGATCCTCCTCATTGATCACTTCAGAACCAACCACCTTTCAAAAGAAATAGAGTTGCGTGGATCAGTACAAGGCACTATTACTGTAACCCAAAACTTGGAAGGAGCAAGCTAATTAAATAGTGAAGCAATAAAGTCAAAATTTAATCATCACTAACTCCCTTCCTTTTCATTTCGTTGGGTGGAGAGGTTAGCAATAAGTCCAAGGGACCTGTAAGAAGTTGTCATTATTTGCTCAACAATGGAAATCATGAAAATGTACATGTAATACCAACAAAACCTATATAGGAAAACAGGCTAGCCCGCATAACCAGCATGAAGTGGATAAGAAATGGAATAAATTCTATGCATAAAACTGGACAGTGGATATGGAACGACTGCATCTCGCCTTAAAAAGAATTATTTTCTCAGACAAGTCCCCTTATTCTAGGCAAATACTCATGTTTATACACTGTGTTAAACTAAATAAGCCAAGGGTAGAGGCAAACCTATATATTTTTAATTTTTAGAGAGAATGACTTAAATTACTTTAAGGATTTTGAAGAAGAAAATATTCTGCAAAACTATAATTCTCTCTTAGGAATCTAAGGAAAGCAAAGGAAAATAACCAACCCAGCTACTTTTACCGGCTAGAAGCAATGCCAAACCAAAAAGTGTCTGGATTGGTCAGCAAATAAGGCAGAGAGAGAAAGAGAGAGAAAGAGAGAGAGAGAGAGCATCAGCACCAATCCCATTCTATTTTCCCTCTGCTGGCTACGTAGATTTCACAAAAGAAAGAAATGCAATATTTGCCCAATTACTTATTGTTGTCTCAACTGCATATCATCGAGTTTGAGTGAGTATGTATGCAGAGATGAAACACATAAGGGACTTTTGCAGCTTTTCTTCAGCCTAAGATATCAATCAACATCCACCTATCGTCTCTTGACTTTCATGTCATTAAGAGCGCATAATAGCCAACTCGGTAATATTCAATTAGAAAACTCCAAAACATTAGATGGTTAAATTGTTTAGTGTAGAACAATGGACAACAAACTATGTAAAGCAAGGAAGCCAAACACCTTCCAAAGTGTCAGTAAGACTATACAAAACCAAGAAAGCAAAGTTCAAAATAAACTCCAATCCAATCCTCACTTCAAAGAACTATCTCTGTCCCATCAAAAACAGATACCCCAATGAGATCTCTACCGTCATCTAACATTAAACCTTCAATATATATTCCAACAATTTGACACGTTCCACCTGAACACCATTGAGAAAGCTAAAACCCATTTCACTGTTCAAATATCAAACACAGAGGCTGCCTAGACTTGTCAATGTCTTATGCAGTAAAATACAGTTCCTACAGCTGCATCTTCATCAAGGTGAAGGAATTATGCAAAGTTCCGGATTTCATCTCAAATGTGTACTTGCAAAGGCATAATCGACTCTTCCTAACTTTTCGATAGTACAGTCCATTGCCAAATCAATAGCTTTGTCAAAAACAACTGAAGTCCAGTAGATGACGAACAAGGGGATGGAGAGAGATACTTGTGAAATTTAAGCCACGTAATTTACATTATCAAGTTAAAGCTCTACCAATCATGACTAAAATATTATATGCAGCTATTCTGGCAGATACACCCCTGACAAGTGCATTACAAATTCTGTGTACTTTGGCCAATTCAAGAAATAAGTGGAAACACTCTGCATTAGTGCTAGAATAATTTGAGCTGAAAAATGCAATGTTCTCAAGTCATTGTCCCCTGGCCACGATTTTTAGCATCTGTCAGATGCGAAACATCAAATCATGTTCCACCAGATCTTTAACTTTGAAAAGACAACAGATACACGAGTATTATAACTTCAGATATATATAATCAAGTTGCACCTTCAAATGTGTCACTACTTTGAAACTATATACTTACCATAAAGTACTCTTCATTACCATCCCAAACAAGCATTTTCGGGAGCTCAGACTTCTTGTTCACCCCAAATGACTCAGTAAAGTCTTCAAACTGTTTGAACCCAACATAAGCAAACACCAAGTCACGATTGGCACTTGCACCAGCCTTCAATAATTGGACCAATTTCTTTGATTTCTCTTCATTCTCATCTTCCATAATTGTCAACACAATTTTTCGATCGTCATCTTTCAGTAACTTCAGCGTATCATAATTTATTGGCAGGGGTGAAGGAATAAAATTCTGCTTGATGAAGTCCTCCAAAAACTTTTCTGTCAATCCAGAGCAAGAGAAACTTGATGTTAAGCAATATAGGAAATACAATTCCATGCAACTAAAGATGTAGATTTCACAGAAACACACATAATCTTTTCGTGTATTCAGAACCAGAGCACTTTAAGCAATAAGTAGAAAAAATATCCAGTACTGGAAGGAATCTAAGCAAAATGAAGGAGCACCAGAATATATAATGGAGAATGAGTAAGAAACGATATCAGAGATGGCTAGCAACACTCTTTTGAAGTTAAAATTGAAAACAGGCGAAACTAAGGTGTAAAGCACCATAACAAGAAGCAAGGTAGTTGACATACATTATGGACCTACTCAGGCAAAAGAAATCAGCCTAATCAGGATGGAAGGTCAACACCATATTTACCTTCAAAGGGACCATAGAAAATATTCTGTTCGTTGTAATTCGGATGAAGGGATACCAAAGCAGGTACCTTGTCAAAGTCATACGCCACCATTATTTCCTCGGAAAAATCCTTTGCCACAGAAAACCATGCCTTTTTCTTGTATTTCTTTCCAAAATCTGAAATCAGTGACTCATTCATGCCAAAACCGATGTATATAGGAAAATGGATGCCAGCAGATTGAACAAATTCACTGACAGCAGAGTCTGAATCCAGAATTGAGACATCAGGAGCAACGAACTTCTTCAGAAAACGAACAAGTAAATCTGCTTTTCTCGGCCCATTATATTCCATTGGAACGCCATGCATAAAAAGTTTGAGGGTAGGAAAACCACTGCATGCAAGCAAGTATGTCCATTATGGTCAAAAGATGCAGGACATTTTGATTAGATATAAAGTAGAGGAGGCATTAAGAAATAAAGAACACTGATTATTGAGATGGAAACATTATCACAGTGTACAGATTAACCAAGTTCCAGGCATCAACTACAGAATGATATGAGTTAGATTCTACTAAGTAGATTAGTAGATGTGCTATTTAAAATTCCATTGTGGCAAGGAGCCAGGAAGATAGTGCCATACTCTATGTCATGTTTGACAGCAAGACGTGAGTACTTGTCAGCATTTACTTTTGCGATCACTATAGGCTCTTTCAATCCAGCAAGAATTGGGGCAGCTGCATCTAACTGCAACAGAATAACTAAAGTCAATTTTCTGTCAGCTCGAAGTACCAATGGACCAGCATATTAAGACCTGCTGTACAACTGCGTTTATACAGGAATATATAATGTTGAAAATGTAACAGAAGCCATCACAATCTCATGAAGAGTTATCAGCCAAAGGATACATTCGCTCCCCTATAAGAGCCAAAATAATAAGCATCTATCAACCAGAGTTGACCAAGCAGATCAATCATTCCTTTTATATTTAAATCGGTCAAATGTAGGCAAATCCAAACAAGTACTACATTCAATGACATTAGACTTGTCAGTGATTCATCTCAAAGATGAAACTGAAGGTGTTGAACCTCAAAACATCAGTACCCTCAACTAGCAAAGACTCAATTTTTCTTCAAACAAAGTACATCTACAGCCACCAAGGCTATTCCAAACATGAATTCTCAGTTTATCTGACTAAATATTACTGTACAAACACAATGAACAAGAACAACCAAGCAAATAAATAGATGAAAAATGTCAAGTGAAAATATCACACTGCCTAGAGCCTCAGACAGCACAACTCCGCTTTATATTAGACAAGTACTAAGATTCTACATTATTACACATGATGGCCTTTTTCCCAGTAAAAGAAAGAACCCTCGAATCAATAATTTAACATGAAAAAGAGAAGGACCTCGGGGGCAAGGCGCTTGCAGTGGCCACACCAAGGAGCATAAAAGTCAACTAAAACGTAATCAAACTTCGATATTGCCGAGTCTAGATTCGAATCATCCAGCTCCAACACTGTCCCATCTGTGGCCGAGAAGTTCTCCAAAGCCGCCGACGACGCCGACGACAGCGATTGCCTAGACATTGCCAACAACAGCACCCCCACGACAAGAAACACTCTCATCTTCATAATCAGGCGATTTACACGCAAGCCCACCAAAATTCCAGACGACCCTTATGGAATCTCGATCTCCCCTTCTGTCGTTCTCCACGTTCCGGCCCTCCCGACGCGTCTCTGCTGCAATTTGAAACATCAAACGATTTGGGTCGCAGCTCAAATTCCGAAAGAATAAGCAAAACAACACTCGCACTTGCTGCTAAAAAACACTCTTGATGGCACGAGAATCGGATCCGACCGATGCAAATCAACCGGCAACACCCACAAAACCAAGCAACAGGTGTAAAGCTCCAATGGGTTGCTGAGAAATTGCAGGAAAACAAAAGGGAAAACTTCGCTAACTGGAACCGAGCGAGCGAGACTGACCTGCGTAGATCTGCCAGTGGAGCGATGTGTTGTGAGCAGTTCGTATGTTTTCTTGCCCTTATTGTGTTTGAACTCTTCACTTCTCGTCGGATTTCGAGGTCGTTGCTTACGGAAGACCGAGAAACTGAGTCGAGGAAGACGATGTTACTGTCGTAAAAGAAGGAGAAATTACATTTTCGCCCCAGGTTTTATGAGTTATTGTAATTCTCTTCACCCCCCCAACAAGCAGATCCGAGAGAGTTTTATTTTGTTCCCGTGCTTTTCAGTTTGTCACAATTTTGCCCGAAGGTAGTCGGAAGATTTTGCAATTTGAGTGCAAATCCTTTGATACGAGTTTCTGATGTTCCCCCGACAGTAATAGTAGGGATAATAACACAGATGATTATTGAACTTTGGCCCAATATGCAATGCGGTCTCTGAACTTTAGCTCAATGTACAACGTCATTCCTAAATTTTTAATTTGTTCAATATGTTTCCTGAATTTTTAGTAAATATTCAAACTATTCCCCGGACTATATGAAAATATCCAATTTTATCCTTACATTAATTTAAGTTCAAAGATAATATTAAATATTTTCGTATAGTCTAATGACTAGTTTGAACATATATTAAAAGTTTAAGGACCACATTGAACAAATTAGAAGTTTAGGGATCCTATTGAACAAATTAAAAGTTCACGGACCACATTACATATTGAATCAAAGTTTAAAGACCATTTGTGTCAGTTTTGCTTAATGTTAAAAGAATTATAACTAAGGAGAAAATATTGAACATGAAAAAAAAGAATCTTTTAGATTCAATGTAGTTTTTATAGCAGAATTAGGATTATGATATTAACATGAGGATATTAGTCTAGAAGCTAGGGAATAAACAAGTCTTTATTCAACTCGATTGAAAAATGGGCTCTCTTAATTTAATTAATGGTTTAACGACAGATAAATTTCGAAGATTTGAAGTGTCGCCGGGTTTGCTAAAATGAAAGTTGTTTATCTAAGGTACTTCTGGTCATATTATACTAAGGTGCTGCATGAAAACCATTCTGGTTCTGTCCAGAACTGGTTTTTTGTTTCCAGAATCAGTTTTGGACCAGAAACCCGTTTGGTAACGCAATTTCATTTTTCTATTTTCGGGACAAGTTTGCTTCCAAAACTGATTCGAAACCAGAAATGAGAACAAAAAAAAAGTTGGTTTTTCATTTCTGGAACAAAAGTGAGAACCATTTCTGAGGAATTCATTTTCTTTAACACACATATTCATATGGAAGTCACGATCTTTGAGGTGAGAAAAAAAAGCAAAAAATCAAAAATTTCAAAACTTAACAGAATGGTTTAGAATCTGTGGCTACCCACTTTCAGTGAAATTTAATTTTTTTTAGGTACCGAAAAAAATAAATAAAAATAAAAAATTTCAAAATTTCACAAAATGGCTTAGAAAACCTATGGCCACCCATTTTGAGCAAAATTTAATTTTTTTAGTTGCCAAAAAAAATAAAAAATTCTAAAATTTAAAAACTTCACAGAATATCTTAGAATACCTATGGCCACCCAATTTGAGCGAAATTTTATTTTTTTAGTTGCCGAAAAAAATAAAAAAAAGCAAAAAATCAAAAATTTCAAAACTTCACAGAATGGCTTAGAATACTTGTGGCCATCCACTTTGAGTGAAATTTAAATTTTTTTAGGTGCCGAAAAAAATAAAAAAAATAAAAAATTTCAAAACTTCACAGAATAGCTTAAAATACCTATGGCCACCCACTTTGAGTGAAATTTAAATTTTTTTATATGCCAAAAAAATAAAAATAAGCAAAAAATTAAAAATTTCAAAACTTTACAGAATGGCTTAAAATACCTGTGGCCACCCACTTTGAGCGAAATTTTATTTTTTTAGGTGCCGAAAAAAATAAAAAATAAAATTTCAAAACTTCACAAAACGGCTTAGAATACCTGTGGCCATCCACTTTAAGCGAAATTTTAATTTTTTTAGGTGTCGAAAAAAATAAAAAAATAAAAAATAAAAAACTTCACATAATTGTTTAGAATACCTGTGGCCACCCACTTTGAGTGAAATTTAATTTTTTTTAGGTGTCGAAAAAAAAATAAAAATAAGCAAAAAAGAAAATTTTTCAAAACTTCACAGAGTGGCTTAGAATACATGTGGCCATCCACTTTGAGTGAAATTTAATTTTCTTTAGGAACCAAAAAAAATAAAAAAAAAATAAAAAATACCATTTGGGCATCTAAAAAAAATTAAATTTTACTCAAAGTGGGTGGCTAGAGGTATTGTAAGTCATTCTGTGAAGTTTTGAAATTTTTTATTTTTTATGTTTTTTTTCACCTAAAAAAATTTAAATTTCACTCAAAGTGGATGGCCACATTTATTCTAAGTCATTCTGTGAAGTTTTGAAATTTTTGAGTTTTTGCTTTTTTTTCACCTCCAAAAATTAAAATTTCACTCAAAGTGGGTGGCCACAGGTATTCTAAGTCATTCTGTAAAGTTTTGAAATTTTTGAGTTTTTGAATTTTTTTGGGCACCTTAAAAAATTAAAATTTCGTTCAAAGTGAGTGGCCACATGTATTCTAAACTATTCTATGAAGTTTTGAAATTTTTGATTTTTTTTGGGCACCTAAAATTTAAATTTCACTAAAAGTGGGTGGCCACAGGTATTCTAAGCAATTCTGTGAAGTTTTGAAATTTTTTATTTCTTGATTTTTTTTGAAAAAATTCAACAAATTTCCTATTTTCCCGAAATCTAAATTTTTTTTATTTTCTCGACATTTTGATGATTTTTTCTGGAATTTTTCAATTTTTTGGGATTTTCTGAATTTTTTTAAAGATTTTTATGAATTTTTCGGATTTTTTATTATTTTTATTCCATTTCTAAAAAAATGGATTTTTGTTCCTGGAAATAGAATTTTCTGTTGTTTATCAAACGGGTTTTTATTTCAGGAAATAGAAATTTTGTGCTGTTATCAAACGGGTTTCTGTTCTAGAAATAGAAATTTTTTGTCATTATCAAACGGGTTTTTTTCCTCAAAAACTCATCCAGGAACTAGAAATAGAAAAATCTATTTCTGGTTCAGGAACTCATTCCGGAACAGAATGGTTATCATTCGCTATCTAAGAGTCATGTTGCATGTACCCATAAATCTTATTTCTCTTAGTAAAAAAATGGTTTAGACCTAGACCTTAGACTTAGAATGGTATAAGATTGAATTCTTCATGGAATGAATGATTCCATTAGATTGAATTACCAAAAGGTTGCAATTATATTAGATTAGCTTGATCTACTTGGTTTGCAAGAAAAACTGATGAACGAAGATCAGAGTCGTGAACAGTAAAAGAAGATTCTTGGCATCACCATGCATCAACAGGAAGTCCCGCATCTGAAAGTCAAATCCGTAAAGGGTCCTCTTTTGTAAAGCGATGCTAATAAAAGAGCTTTAGTAAGGTTTTTTAATATACCCGACATTACTCTAGAGAAAGCCAGCTCACATTATGGTTACGTTTGCTTCGCCGAAAATAAATATTTTAAACAATATTTTCTAAAAAATGATCGTTTGTATCTCTTACAAAAATGAATGGAATGGAAAATATTTTTATCATCCACGAAATTATTTACACATAAATTGTCACGCCCCGAGCCCCAACGGGCTCGCAATACCCCTTCCACGGTTGTATTGAACGCGACGTCCCAGGACGTGTCGCCGACCCAAACGAAACACCCAACGATAAAGGCAAGCGGAAGCGAAATTAAATAATCCAGACAATAAATAATGACAAAGGGATAGCACTACCATAAAATCAATATACACATTTTATAAGAATACTTGGCAGATACAAACAGCAGAAACACGCTCATCAAAAAGGGGGTAAAAATGGGTAACCTACTTCACTATACAAAACGGGGCAACCAAAAAGGTGGAATGAAACATCAAATGCCCAAAGTCACTTCCGGTCTCCGAACAGCACATGACGACTATCCGTCACTCCAGTCCTGAAAATGTTTAATAACGGGGGATGAGATAAATCTCAATAAGCAGACCCCTAAACCCTACATAGGCCAATGCGTACCCAGACAAGTCTCAACATGCGACCTAATCATCGACATACTATAATATACACAAACGTACTTACCTCGCTTCTAATCATGCGCCAACTCTACATATTAGTCAAATCACCATAAGTAATAATAGTCCATGAACACATCACAATCATTCGAGCGCCATACACACGTGCGTTCATCCAATTCAACCCAAACACATTTCACATGCGCATCCATCCAACTTTCACACGACCCAGGTCAACACCCCACAGGTCAGCCCTCCGATCAATCCGGGCTCTGTCCTGGGTCAATACCCCACAGGACCTTTCAAAAACAAACTTTCACACGACCCGGGTCAACACCCCACAGGTCAGCCCTCCGATCAATCCGGGCTCTGTCCCGGGTCAACACCCCACAGGACCTTTCAAAAACAAACTTTCACACGACCCGGGTCAACATCCCACAGGTCCTTTCTCACAACCCGGGTCAACACCCCTCAGGTTGGTAGCCCTCCGATCAATCCGGGCTTGTCAAGCATACACGCCACATAATTCAATCAATTCCATGGCATTCACACGTTCAAATATCACCCAAGTGTGTCCAGACAACCACAATGCAATTCACCATACTAGCACATTAAAAATAGCCACGATCCCACCAATTAAATTCACGCTTGCGCACCAACAAGCGGTCATCCGAAGGATGGCAACTACTTTGTCATCAAAACATCACTTGAGCACCCAATTTCAAACATGGAATTAATCCATAAATCAAGCAATCATTAGCCACACTTAGCACGCTACACCGACACAATATATCCTACAATTCCACTCCAAAACTTGTTCATTAACAATCCATCGGACTACCCATTATCACGGCTCATGACAAACCCTAACTCAGTCCTGAAACCAGCCACAATACGCCCATAAATCAGCCATTGTCACACACACATTGGGCACTAAATCAGCCTGCTAATCAAGCAACATTCGACCGTCACAACGCTCGCCATTTCCCACACATTTTAACCCACATTCCGCTCAATAGATTCACCAACATCGTCCCGCCGAACCAGCAATTGACTCAGCCAATAACAGCCACTAAACAAGCCTCTAAACCATCA